GGGGGAGAGGGGGTGAGTCTGTGACTGGATTGCTTGTTGTAGAATTAGAGCAGGCAGGAAGGAAAAGAATAGAGATGAGCAAAATGTTTTAGAAAGATCTTATAGAAGAAAATCAAGCTCTTAAAGAGAAAGAATCACTTTATAATGTAAAAGGAAAGTCCACCGAGCTGTGTTGAGAGGCTGGAAGGGGCGGCCGTCAGCAAACTAAAAGAGAGAAAATTATACGTTTCAGAAATAGTATAAAAGAGTGCTGGAACAGACAGGGGTAGATGTACCGTAGTCTCCGCCTAAACGCACGTCATACAGAAGCACGCTCCGCTCAAACGCACGCTTTCGTCCTCTGACGGGTTTTTTACTATATAATTTAGACGTACAAACACACGGTCACTCCCTCTAAAGGCACGGTCACTCCCTCTAAACGCACGGTCACTCCCTCTAAACGCACGCTTTGATCTGCGAAACACGCTGACAGGTAGGCCTAATGCTTGACTAAGGGAAATTTTCACTACGACTACTGTACGATCTGTACAGCTTGCATATAAGACAAGCCTAGAAAACCGGATATTTGGCGAGACTGCCCCTTACTCCGAACAAAGAAGATTGTGATGGATAGCGTTTCACACCCAACTTTCCAGACACACAGGTCTAGGACTGGTCGGTGAAATGTTGGGGGGGGGGGGGGGGTTGGGGGACTGAGTGAAACGTTATTTGATTGGTCACTGGAAATGCATCTCTTTGAGAGAAGGTTTCTGACTGGTGTTTGAGTGACTGCGTGTTGTTGGCTATAATGTTTAGTTAGACCTAAGCCTATGATGCGCAACACGCGTGAATGCTCGTTCATGAATTTATGGTCGGGGGTGGTCGCTTGGAAAGCCACATGGCTGGGCTGTGGTCTCTATGACTATCACCAACAATTTCTGTTTAGACTTTTGGTTCCCGACATTTTATGGTGCATTCATTACATCGAGTCTGTCTTTCTCTCCCCCCCCCCCCCCCACACACACACAACACACCCATTCAATCAACGCCATTGCAGTCTTTTACAAAACAGTCACGTGTCCTCACATCCTCGGCCAAAGTGACCCCCATCCCAAAGGGAGGTCACTAGAATATCAAGGCAATGAGATAACTGCGTCCATTCCTCTCTTTGCAAAGGTTCATGTAAACACACGCTAAGGAGCCCTCCCGAGCACCGTGCGTTTAGGCGGAGACTACTGTAGCCTACTTGGTTTCTTTTTACCCTTGTCTCAATCACATTTAGAGAAAAAGTGTCATGGATTTTCATGACTTTTGATCATATATATATATATATATATATCTGTTTACTGTAACCATTTTTTTTTCTCTCCAGAAAATCGACTTGAGTGTGTTTAACCAGAGAGGTTGTAACGATTTGTTGAAGCGTAAAGGATTTTTTAAGAAAGAGCATGTGGCCACCGTGGTGCCCGACGAGTTTTTGACCGGGCCCTACGTGGAGAGAGAGGAGGAAAAAGTGGCGGAAGTGAACGATGAAGCTTCACAGACAAAGGAAGAACCGGAGAAAATGTACGAAAAAGTGAAATCTGAATTGTAATATTGTCTGTTTGTGAAGGAAGATACAAGGCTGCATGGTTGTTTGTTTGTGTGTGCCTCCCTCATCACTCTCATGTGTGTTCTCTGACTCAAGTCTTACTGTGAAAGGTTTAGTGACTCAAGTCTTACTGTGATAGGTTTAGTGACTCAAGTCTTACTGTGATAGGTTTAGTGACTCAAGTCTTACTGTGATAGGTTTAGTGACTCAAGTCTTACTGTGATAGGTTTAGTGACTCAAGTCTTACTGTGATAGGTTTAGTGATTCAAGTCTTACTGTGGTAGGTTTAGTGACTCAAGTCTTACTGTGATAGGTTTAGAAGTTCTCTTTCGTCTCAGAGAAATTTGCTGGTAATATCAACACCAGGATGTTGTAATGATAGGAGAGTCCACTGACATATCAACACCAGGATGTTGTAATGATAGGAGAGTCCACTGACATATCAACACCAGGATGTTGTAATGATAGGAGATTCCACTGACATATCAACACCTGGATGTTGTGGTAAATGATAGGAGAGTCCACTGACATATCAACACCAGGATGTTGTGGTAAATGATAGGAGAGTCCACTGACATATCAACACCAGGATGTTGTAATGATAGGAGATTCCACTGACATATCAACACCAGGATGTTGTGGTAAATGATAGGAGAGTCCACTGACATATCAACACCAGGATGTTGTAATGATAGGAGAGTCCACTGACATATCAACACCAGGATGTTGTGGTAAATGATAGGAGAGTCCACTGACATATCAACACCAGGATGTTGTAATGATAGGAGAGTCCACTGACATTTGGACTTTGCGAAAGAATCCTGATTGTGTTTTACGGCGCTACGAAAACTTTTCTCAGACTCAAAAATTGTTTTGAAACTGGTCTGCTCAGCTCAGCATTTTGCCACTGTGAATTATATACGTATGGTCTTGTTGCTTTGGGAATTTGTTTGCCAATATATATAGAAAATAGTACATATATATATATATTATATATACGTGACTGTCTTGTTGAGATGTAAGAGTTTTCTTGAAAAGTTCAGATGTAAGTATGACAAAATAAGAATGAAGGAACATTTTATACAAACTTGGTAAGACTGGAATTTTATTTTTAAAAGTTAAGATTTAAGGCGGAGGACAGTCCTGGACAGTCAGTTAATCATTAATGAGTTTGCTGGAGAAATGTTTCATAATTTTTGTGCAAGTTATTTTCTAGTCTCAGGTAATTATTTTTATTTTTCACTTCCTTGTCTGTTGATGAAAAAGCTACCATGACAATTTGCGTGATATTTTTGTGCTTTTTCAGTTGTAATGATTTTGATCTGTGCATCATGTATGGATTGTAAGGTGGGAGGATTGTATGAAAGTGTTTATTTCCTAGTGCAGATGAATGGAGACAGATTTGATACCAGTGAGATAGCCTTGCCTCAGTTTGGGAAGTCGTAAACTGATTGTGACTTTTGTGACTTAGTCTTGTGTTGTTTGGAGCCGAGAACTTGTCCAGATTCTGGGACATCAGTTGTCTGGGACCAGAGGCTAATGACGCCGACAGTCGAAACATGTGGCTGTCAGCTGACCCTCTCTCTGGTGGGCCGTTGATGTTTCAAACGATCACGACACAGTTTGAAGGTTTCCATGATGGTTCAGTCTTTTTGTCTTTCCAGAATGTCATAAATTAAAATTTTTTATTTATATATATATATAATATATGTATGGTTTACATGTGCACAACTTTCAGTAGTCCCTCTTTGTGAGAGCACAGTTCTTTTGTTTAGGGGGTCGTTTATTGAAGCATCGGTACTTACTTATACTTGGTATATATATATCCCTTTTATTTAAGTGATGTGATCTTTAATGTCTGAAATTCCTGAAAAGAAAACAGAAATATGCCCTGTAGCTCTGGTACATTTTTTGTAGGAGTGCTTTAGAAAGTTTGATGAAGATCGGAAAGTTCTGGAGCTTACAAGAATAGCTGAATAAATCAAGTCCATTTTGTTTTGAATGTGACCTCATCTTGAAATAACTTCATAAGACTCGAAATACAAGTATTATTTGTATTACACATGCTCTCTTTTGTACTGTTACAGCTAAGTTAAGTTTGCCTTGAAACTGGACAAGTTCTGCTGGAGTTTCAGGCTTTGAAGCAACTACATTTTGTAGGCTTTTTAAAATATCAATGACTTCAGGTTCATTTTTACTAATACAGTAGAACATGGTATAGGTCAAACACAGAAGACTCGAACATGCATCCGTTGATCTGTGCCTGCAGTCCCGGTTTTTTATAAGGTTAAAGAGAGCTCCGTGTTGTAGATTGGTTGCATGAGGCTATAAAAGAATATAAAGTCTGGTTTTGCATGAGGCTATAAAAGAATATAAAGTCTGGTTTTGCATGAGGCTATAAAAGAATATAAAGTCTGGTTTTGCATGAGGCT